GAGGACTCCTTCCCGAGGAATCGAGAGTTCACTAATATTGTACTCAGTTCGTCGAGAAACTTCCGAACTCAGACATTTATAATATGAACTCGAATAATTGAATAAAAAAACTTTCTCCGAACTCAAATTACCGAATTGACTCTGAAAATTTGAGATCCACAATCAACAGACATCAGCACCACATACAACTTCAGCTCGTGCAGATCCACACAAATAGTGAGAAACATATACCCATCATTTCTAATATGAATAGGGATCGGTTTAACAGATCCATCAATATCCATCCATTGCAACATCTCATAGGTCAGCTCAGTATCTACCTTCGTCTCAACGATATTCATTTCTGTGTATACATTTGCCGATCATATGTCTTTTTCTCTTAGCCTTTATTTTGCTAAATTGTAAAGATTCATATTAATAAAGAGTTGGGCAATGCATAAGATTCCCTTTTACATTGGTACCTTGGTAAAAAGAATTAAAAACAAGGTAGCAAAATTTAATTAGATTAAAATCACTGAATCCAAAGAAGCATTACGTTACCAAAATGCTGTCTCTGTCTTCTTACAGAAATAGAGTTTTGAACCTTCTTATTGATGTCCTTCACGATAATATCAGGAGGAATGAAGGTTGTGAACGATATTGTTCATTTGCTTCCAAATATGGTAGATTGTGGCGTGAGCTGCTAGATTCCTAAGCAATGTGGGAGCAGAGTCCAAAGTAGTTGACATCCATAACATGCTATCCAGCCATAATTAAGTGGAAGATCCCGCAGGGAAGCCTCAAGCTTTTCTCTTAGCTTGATGCCTTTGATTAGTTTTTCTTCCATTAGCACAAAATGTCACACACTGTCAGTCTGTCACCACCCCTTTTTAACCAGCCTTGCACCGCTCTCACTAAAATGCTTAAGACAACACATAAAACCACCATCTTCAGTTTTTTACACTCCCAATTCAAAATCAACAATACCACTAGTTAGAACTCGCTGTAAATATTTAAATATGAAACGATGGATGAACTGTAAGTTGAAAGTACATGACTTTTTTAAATCATAAACTCTTTTTTTTTAATGATTTGTTGTATAAATCTACAAAAATGTTGGATGTGGACTTATTAATTGGAGCTCTAAAAACCTAGGTTAACATGTTAATATTTCAAATTTTCCCTCAATTTCTCCCAAATCTCTCGTTTATTGTCTCCAAATATTGCATTTAATCAAGAACAGCTTAGTAAGCATTACGTTTATGTATAGTTGGATAACTGTGACATCATGCTCTCCGCCATAACTATTTATCGTACTTGCAGATTTTATCTGTAAATATATAAGTTATGTAGTCTCACATTTAACGATACTTTTTGGCTGTGTACCAACACAGATCAAATAAAGTAGTACAATCAATGCAAATACGAAAAGAAATTATTTAAATAAAAAAAATATTGATCTGGGTAAAACACACTTTTAACAATTGTTTATCCCAATTTGTTTTTCTGTGACTTTTTCTGTATTTATGATGAATTATTTTTATATTAATATTTTTGTTTGTTACTTTAAAGGAAAATGCATTCTGTAGCTATCAAACAAATTCACCATCTAACAAAAAAAATATATTTTTTATATTTTCATATTAATACAATTACACTTTTTCTTTTATTTATTTTTTATTTTTTTTCTTGTTCTTATGTCTTTCCTCGACCAAGCGCTTTCTCTTCCACGAATTTCTACAATTCACGCAAATCTACAGTCTTTCAGTGCGACAGAATCTCTGCTATATTATGGCAGAACAATCAGAAACTCGTTTCTCCATAGTCCATCGTCGTCTCTGGATTTGATTTCACATGAGTCAATCTTCTATCGTTGCAAAAAGATAAATGAAGAATTTGAAGATCTTTGTGTTTCTCCATATTTGATTTCATATTAGTCAATCGATCGTCGATTTAGTGGAGGCTTGCTGTTGTCGCATGAGGCAGAGATCGTTGTAGTTGTTGGAGCAGAGATTCATTGTGGAGCTTTTGAATCATTTCTGGTGGTTATTCTTCTTTCTTTGCCCATAATCTCCGTTACCTCCGACATCGTACATGTATTCGACATAATTTTGTGGATTTTACAAATTTTGAAAAATTTTGTATATAGAAAGTCTAGTTTTGTGTACAAAATATCATCGGTGGTGATAAGCATTAGGCTATCACATTGAACCTAATTAGGTAGATTTTGTAAATTTTGGAGATTTTGTATATATAAAGTCTATTTCATAGATGGAGAAAAATATATTAGCACGTCATAAATGATGATTTAATATACAGATGAGCAAAGTGCATAAAGGTTTTGACTTTGTATAGAATGTTTATATACTATATAAATGAGCAAAGTGCACAAATGTTTATCCTTTTTTCTCGTCTCAAATGCAATTTTACTATTTTTTATTTGCTAATGTTTATGTGTATAGAATATCTGTTTTAAGGAAAACTATTTAGTAATTTGATTTGATGCATCAAATCCAAACTTCCTATCAGCTGGATTCTTCCCGTACATAGCTCTACCCACGAAATCAAAATTTGTTCCATTACCAAAATTACCCAACTCGGGTTATTTGTTAACAACAATAAGTAAAATATCCCACCATATTCATTCTCCTCCCCATATTGTTTCCTTCTCTCATTCAATCTATTCTACTTATGAAGTCTATACTATTTTACAAACTTGTTATTGTAAACAATATAAAGATGATCTGATTTTCATTGTAAAAAAATATTTGAACCATGACATGTGATATAGTTAAAAATATGTCAGTCTATATAGAACATATAGATTATCTATACTAGCTTATGCATATTCTACATGAGACAGAATTACATTACTGACCATTGAAGATGATGAGAAAAAGCTAACAGAGTAAATATATTACAGAGTAGTGAAACAGCTGGTTTTGGGGAGTCAAAACATTCCTCTAATAAAGTATCGGTAAACTATATTTTTATGTTTTGATTATAAAATGGTCTTTTTATGTTATTTTTAAAAATAGTTGGTGACAATACTATTTACGTCCACAATATGTATTTGTGTCCGCTTTTCAAAATCAGTCATGTTAGATTGAAAACAACTAAGATTCACTTTTCTTCTCATTATCTCATCAACTAAACTATAATAGATTGACTATGTTATTGATAAAATATATTTATATATTTATATATATATATATGTATATAGTTTTGCTATATTATTAGTGACATTATTTATGTTAAACAGATTTTTTTAGTTTTAAAAAATCTAAATCATGTTAGGCATGAAAGAATCTGTATATTTCTGTAGTTATAAAATTTTGATGAAATAATAGCATGCAAATAACGAAAAGAAACAAAAAAAGAAGCAAAATCTATGGAATACAATAAATAGAATAATACAGAAATAGTATATAGACCATCTATATATAAATGGTCAAGAGGATAAAAATGTTGAAAGTACACTATTTTATTACTTATCTAATTTCTCTGAAAGCATGATCATATTCTTAATCAATTATTGAAATTGGTTACTGAGCTAATTGACTCTACTTTAAAACTGTAAGTGGAGTCACTGAGCTAATTGACTTTACTTTAAAACTGTGAATGGAGGGAAAAAAACAGATGATCCTATCTAAAGAATAAATGCAGTTATTCTAATTTCTATTCAAAATCGATGTGTATGTCATTTTCTGTATTATCTCCAACAATATTGAGTCAGTGACTGACTACTACCAAATTGATTTTTTTTCTTTCAAACAGCCTTTGTAATACAAATGCTAATTTAAACGTAAGAAAGTCAAAATAGACACTTTTGCTCCTAAAATAAATTAATCTATTCATTAAAACAGAAACACATTTAGTGCTTGCATCCAAACACTCCTAAAATATTTTTTATAATATTTTATTTTATTTTTATATTTAATTTTCGAAAATTAGTTATTAATTTAGATATTTTTAGATTTCCTAAAATCTAGGTCATCTTTAATTTAAATTTCAAATTATTAGAAATTTAATTAAATTTAGTTACAAAATTTGCATTCAATTTAACTTAAATTCAAAAAATTCAAAAAAAAAATTATAATTAAATTTTACTACGAAAATTTAAATAATAATTTTAATACTTTAATATTTCTTAAATACATGAGAGATTTAATTTAAAATTTTAAATTTAAATAATATTTTTATAAAAATGCATAGCAAATAAATATTTTATCGTATTTTAGCATAATCAATTGGTTTAAAATATCAAATATTTGAGATTAATAAATATTTATATTATACAATAATATAATTGAGCTGATTAGAGTTATATATATATATAAGGTCCATGGGTTAATTTATTAAAACATATAAGATATTAAGATGATTTGAAACAATTAAACTAACAGGTTAGCCAGTTTATATATATATATATACATTTTTTAATAGCACAAATAGTAAATAAATATCTTATTATATTTTTTCATAATCAATTGGTCCAAATATTCTATATTAGTAAATATTTATAGGGTTATACAATTACAATTATAGTTTTATATGAGTTAGTATGTCAAAACATGTAAGATATTTAAAATGATTTAAGACAACGAAACGGATGGATTAGCAAATTCATAGATATAAAGATTTTTTATGTGTAAATCTAAATTCACATAATAACAAAGTTTATAATTAACATTAGATCAATATATACTTAATTAACATATACTTTTATTCTATTAATATACAAATTTTATTGTTTAAAATTAAAATATGATAACAATTTTTGATTTAAAAAAATAAATAACAAAAACAAATTAAATCTAAAGAAAAAGATAAATGCAATTTATATTAGAAAAAAAAAATATGGGTTAAAATCTAGTTCATTCATTAAGACACTGTCGACTGTCGATTCTAATAACCAAAATGAAGAAGAAAAAGGAAAAACTTATCTTTGCAAACCTACCGGTTAAAATTGACTTTCCGTAATCCGAACAGTTAAACCAAAACCTGCTTTAGTTTGTACATTTGTCAGCGAATTTTTTCTTCTTCACCAACTACAACTTTCTGCTTCTTCTGCTTTCTGCTTCTGCTTCTGCCAGATTAAGAGAGAGAGAGATCTAGCATACAGATTGCTCCGCAAAAATCTGCAAACACCAGCATCGACATGATAAACTCTGTAGCGTTGCTGTTTCTAACCATTCTTGTCCTCCAAACCCACTTCCCAATCTCCGACGCCATCCCGATTCCATCCCCAAACGGCGAGATCGACGCGATGCTGGTCCGAAACAGACTCATCGGAGAAGACGAAGAGCTAATGCCGTCGGAAATTAGCCGGAGAGTGCTGATGGCGCGGAAACGGTACATCGGCTACGAAACCCTAAGGAGAGACATGGTTCCTTGTCAGAAACCAGGCGCCTCTTACTACGATTGCCGCTCAGGTCAAGCCAATTCTTACAACAGAGGCTGCGATACCATTACAAGGTGTGCTAGAGACACCAGCGACATCGTTACCTGAAGAAATTTTAGAGCTTTTTTGGGAGTTTGGTTTTGAGTATTCAGAGTATATTTTCTGTTATAAAGTTTTAAGCTTTTTGTATTGTTGTTGTTATATATGTAATCTTGCAACTGTTTTGGTTATCAAATATGTCCAATTATTAAGATCTATATATTATATAAAGGTTTCAGTAGATTGATGCATATAATATTAGCTGTTCATTTGCTTGTTATTGGGTGCTTATGGACCAAATCAGAAGCTTTTCACTGGGGAATGTAGAGAGTTCTTGATGCTTCTTGTATAGTATAATGGAAGAAAATTCAGTTCTTGTTGCTTTTTGGCGTTTGGTTTGTGAAATTCAGAGGCAAGTAAATTCAGAAGCTTTTTGTATTGTTGTTGCTATATATGTAAGCAGTTTTGGCTATCAAATATGCCAAATCATTGAGATCTATGTGTTATAGGAAGTTTTTTAAGTAGATTGATGGATAATATATTAGGCGTTGATTTGCTTGTTTTTTTGGGTGATTATGGACCAAAATTAGAAGCTTTTCACTAGGGAATGTGGAGATTTCTTGATGCAGAGAAGTTCAAAAGTAGAAATTGATGTTGTAACTGAGCATGTTTGTGTGCTATGTGGATTGAGGAAGGAGTTGGTCTCAGAATTGAAATTTAGAGAATTGGAAACACATTGACTCTTGTTTTGTGTTGGATTTTACGACTTTATATCATTGTTGACTGCTTTCTGTTCCGAGCCTAACGCTTTCTGTTTTTCTATGGTGAAGAAAGGAGTTTAGTCTTGTAAATTTTGTTACTATGTATTAGTTTTTAAGTTCATGCATGTTTCCTCACACATCATAATCCATAAGATCCAGGACCCTGCGACGCAAAATCAATATTGATGAGCTTTAAAGTCTCTAAAAGACACCATTCCATCCGATCATACGCTTTAGTCATATCGGTATTCATTGATAGGGGCCTGTTCTTTGGATGGACGCGCGTCAGCGATTAATTATCACCACTTTCAGTTACTTCTCACACAAGTATGTGGAGAGTAACACCATCGCCACGTTTAAAAGTAGTTGTCGCAACTATTGCGGCTGCCACTATGTTTTTCCAGCGTCACCAGCGACACCGGCATCTCCTTTAAAATTAACTGTAACACTAGATTAATGTGAAGATAGGCAACAGTTTTAGATTCTCCATTGTTGTTTTTTTTTTGCCGCGATCGCTGACGCAGCATCCATGAAAAGAACAGACCCAGAATCTCCATATACACCACGTATTAAGAGCATGGAAAGTGTCTTGCGCCGAGAAGATAATATCAGAGATCACCCTCCCTTTCTTGAAAGGCGAACTGTGTTTCCGAAGTGATTGTGGGAAGGAGTCTTTTCCGTCTTTGACAAAGAACTTTAGATATGATCTTGTACATTGTGTTGCAAAGACTAATGTGTACAAACCTACTTCATATCTCTAGGTCTTTTCGTTTTCAGGATGAGAGACACACTCAGGTGGTCGTTACATTGAGGTTGAGGATTGAGTCACTGATCTATGTTCTCATGAAATCTTAAACCACTGTCACAACTTGGAGATTATAAACCGTTCATTTTATAATACTTAAAATATAGGGAAACAAAATTAAAAAAAAAATGAAACTGCTCTCCCATCATGGAGATTTCCTCCATAGAGATACGATCATCTGCGGCCAAAAAAAAAAAGAGACACTATCATCATCTTGGGCCTTATCCGACAAGTTCTTTAAGTCTTCAATCAAATCTTAATAGTTCATCATATCACTTGGCTATTTACCTAAGTAGAAGTTTATAGTCATACTGTAAACTATGAATATTCCAATTACTATACGAGTGACAAGAGTATGATGTGGAATGAAATTTGAACTTACAGGGATATTTTAGGTGATAGAAAAAGGAATTTCTCTTTGAGTAATTTTCTTATTACAAAATTTTCGGTATGGTTGGTGAGATTCTTATATTCTTCTCGTACGATATTAATTTGGTATAAATGAATCCTAAGATTAAGTTTGAATCGTGTGCAAATCATAATAGCAAGCATAATAGCAACCGCGGCATATGAGCATCAACCCATTAGAGATATGAACACTTCACATCACATTCAATGGAACAAAAAAGCAAAAAAAAAAAAAACAGAATAAAGTCGAAAGAGAGAGATATCAATAAATTGAGATGCGGAAAACAGTTTCCCCTTTTTCATTTTTCTGTATGATTTGTTTAAAGAGTACAACGTTGAACAAAACACACAAAAATAAAATCAAGAGGAGAACTATAATCAAAAACTAATTTAAGTTTTCAAGAAAAATGAAGAAGAAGAAGAAACAAGCACAACCTTCAAAAGCCAAGAACCCTTATTAAGAACGATAATTGATCAACTTCACCAGAAGACCAATATCTTCCACTCTTCCACCATAACCCGACACAAACCAGAAGCAGAACCAAACCCGCTTTGTCTAATCTCTCTCTCTCAGTACCTGTAGTGAGCAGGCTTGTATGGTCCTTCAATGGGAATGCTGATGTAATCAGACTGGTCCTTTGACAACTTAGTAAGCCTAGCTCCAAGCTTGCCCAAGTGAAGTGCAGCAACCTTCTCATCCAAATGCTTAGGCAAAACGTAAACCTTCTTCTCGTACTTACCACTCGACTTCTCGTTCCAAAGCTCAAGCTGGGCAATCACCTGGTTGGTGAAAGAGCAAGACATGACGAAACTAGGGTGACCAGTGGCACAACCCAAGTTCATGAGACGACCCTCAGCCAAAACAATGATTCCGGTCTTGGTCTCAGGGAACACCCACCTGTCTGTCTGGGGCTTGATGGTGATACGCTTCACACCAGGGTAAGTCTCGAGTCCAAGCATGTCGATCTCGTTGTCAAAGTGACCAATGTTGCACACAATGGCGTTGTTCTTCATCTTCCTCATGTGGTCGACCATGATGATGTCTTTGTTACCGGTGGTGGTGACAAAGATGTCAGCTTCTGAGACCACGTCCTCGAGTGTCAGAACTTGAAGTCCTTCCATCAAAGCTTGAAGGGCACAGATGGGATCGATCTCAGTCACGATAACACGAGCACCAGCGGTTTTCATGGCGGCGGCACAACCCTTTCCGACATCACCGTATCCACAGATAACAGCGACCTTTCCGGCGATCATGACATCAGTTGCCCTCATGAGACCATCAGGTAGAGAGTGACGGCATCCGTACAAGTTGTCGAACTGTGAGTAAAGAACACATAAGATTATCAGCAACATAGCATATGAGTAAACCACAACATCAAAGAATGAATCTGTATGCAATTCACAAACATATGATTCACTATAAACTGGTTCTTATTAGCTGCAAGATCGTAAGTAATTTTCAAGAAATATCTACTTAGTGTTTAGTTGTCGTCTTATCCTATAGCAACAAAATTTACTCCTCTCAAATCTAAAGATCCGAAAGAGGACATTGCAGTGACCAGTTCTCTCCTTTAGATCTAGAATATGAATCATTTTATCAGTAAGTCTTATCAAGAACAAATCTGAGAAGAAAGAAAATCAATACCTTGCTCTTGGTGACAGAGTCGTTGACGTTAATGGCTGGGAAAAGTAGAGCTCCACTTTCCTGCATCTGGTAAAGCCTCTTGACACCAGTGGTAGTTTCCTCAGAAACACCAACGAGTCTCTCCTTCATCTTGTGGTACTTCTTAGGATCAACTTGAAGACCTTCCTTGATAATCGACAAAACGATCTGGAACTCAGGGTTATCAGTGGAATTAGGATCAGGAACCTGACCAGTCTTCTCAAAGATCTCTTCAGCTTTAACTCCCTCATGAATCAAGAGCGTCGCATCACCACCATCGTCAACAATCAGATCTGGACCACCACCTGGACCCCAGTCAAGAGCACGCTCCGTGCACCACCAGTACTCCTGGAGCGTCTCACCTTTCCAGGCGAAAACGGCGGCGGAATCGCGAGCGATTGCGGCGGCGGCGTGGTCCTGAGTTGAGAAGATGTTGCAGGAGCACCATCTGACTTCGGCGCCGAGAGCTGTTAGGGTTTCGATGAGGACGGCGGTTTGGATTGTCATGTGGAGAGATCCGGTGATTCTAGCGCCTTTGAATGGCTGAGCTGGACCGAACTCGGTACGGCAAGCCATGAGTCCAGGCATCTCAACCTCGGCGAGCTCGAGCTCGAGACGACCGAAATCGGCCTGGGACATGTCCTTGACCTTGTATTCACGGCCACTCGACGTCTTCTCAACGATCAACGCCATTTTTCTCTCTCTTAGATATTTGCCGGATCTAAGATTTGGAGCAGAGAGAGAGGTGGTAGAGAGAAGTGTGCGAGGAGAAACGAAGGTGACTGAGAGGGTATAAATAGATGAGGTCAAAGTGAAATGGACGGCTCGGATTATTTTGAGGGTTTGGTGGATCTGGTAGAAGCTTTGATCCCGTAGTTTATGGAACACGCTGCATGAGCAGTGTGACCCGTGTTTTAAGCTGTTGTGGAGTTGATCGGACGGTGTTATGGAAAGGGTGGCCACGTGGCTGCATCGAATTCGTTTCAGCGAATCAAAGATCATAGTTGTGGCGAGCCCTAACGGGCTTGCCCACGGATTAGTTGATTTTTCTTTTGTTGTTTCTTTGAATGATGAGTTGTAATGATTTGTTGATGTGTCGTATTTACAGTGAATTTCACAATGTTTTGCTTACGTGTTATTGCTAGAATGAGTTTCGGTTGTATAAAAACTTGTTTACTCTATTTACTGATTACATGTTATTTTTTATTGATTTTTATCTGATGATGTATTAAAAATAACTTAAAACAAACCGCTATAAATTATTATTGTAAAATGCTTTATTTCGCTGTCAAATCAAACCGTTTTTAACTTTTTATAAATTTAAATTTAAAAAAAAAATATAACCAAAAAGTAAAAAAAAAAAAAAAAGAGAATCTATATTTCTTAGTAATAGAATGTCGCTAAAAAAAATCATCTCTAACTAATGTAATGTCACTAATTATGATATATATGTTAGTGTTTACGATTTCTTATGTTTACAGGATTTTTGATTTTTTATGATTTAGTATAAATATTAACCATTTTTCTCTAGTAAAGCCGATATTTAGTCAAATCTAACAAAAAAATAAAAAATCAATAAATGAAATGTCTAATGGAATAACGGTATTTATGATGTCTAAATTAGGGTTCTCGACTTTAAATATTTTAGTATAAATATGTAAGACTTCTCTCTAATTCTCTCACACCTTTCTTAATTGTTTAACTTTTTGCTTCTTCTTCGAATAAGTTCGTACGATACTTCAAAAAACTACATCTAAAATACATAGAATAGTGATCAAAAGATCTCAAAACTATTTAAACTAAATTATTTAGATATTAATATAACATTAAAATGTAAAGAAATCTAAAACAAATATACTAGAGAATAAAAAATAAATGAATTCAAACTACTATTAAATTTTCAAACAACTAAATAAAAAAAATTATATCAGCCCACGCAAGGCATGGGCAAATTCACAAGTTTTAATTTAAGCTTAAATCAGTTCATTATGTTTTAGGATAAAACATGGATTAGTTGATTTCTCTTGGTTGTTTCTTTGAATGCTATTTTAATTTAAGCTGAAAAAATCAGTTCATAATGTTTTAGAATAAGAAAATATCCTTACTTTTTTGTCTACAATATTTTTCTTATTTTAACTTTTACTTAGCTTATATAGGATTTGGAGATTTTTGGTGTATATACCAAATGTTTATTGTTGCTATTTTGTGCTGATATTTTATAATCTTTTTCCAATAAATGTCAAAAAAAATTTAAGTAATGGAACTTATGAAAATCATAACTAAACCAGTTGATGTCACTGATTTTTGGCAAGTTATTGACAGTTAAAGATGAATCACAACATTTTCTCAAATGTGTAATTGAATATGATAAGATCTGCATGTTCTAATTGATATTGAACTGAGTTAAGATTAGTGAATACACAAATGAGTCGTTTTAGAATTCGCTCATATATAACATGTACTGTTTCCGAGCCTTGTAAAATATACGGATTTTGATCTAAAAACACTAAAAAGAATTATGTTCTACTTATTTTTAAACTGTTTTCAAATTTTAGATTAGAGTGATTTTAAAATTAAATCGATGAAAATATCTTCAAAGATTATGGACTATATGTGTGTTTAACTATTTTAATGCACATTGTGGGTATATCATGATTTTATTCGAATGATTAAATATTCATTTCATCATTTATAGTGTTTTTTTGTATTTTTGTTATGGAAACTTTGGAGGTTTCTGACTATTTTTCATAATTTAATAATAGAGTTTACCTTTGTGGTGATCTAACATCAATTTGGGATAAACAATTTTTGGGTTCATCTTTAGGGGTAAATTCATTCATTCACCCCCTCTCATTTTAACCAATGAGAATCTGCCATATAATAAAATCAATTAAGGTAATTTAGCAAAATAGCATATTTTAAATATTTTTTTAATGAAAAAAACTAAACTCTAATTTGGAAATAGTGAACCCAAACATAATATTAAAGTTTATGTAGAATTATTTTTTAAAAATATATATTTTTACATAATTATTTATTTTATTTTTGAAATTTTAAATGAAAAAAAAAACTAAACCATAAATTAGAAATAGTGAACCCAAACATAATATCAAATTATTTTTTTTAATAGAAAAATGCTAAACCCTACTTTGGAAATATTGAACCCAAGCATAATATTAAAGTTTATGAAGATTATTTTTAATAAAAATATTTTTTTACATAATTATTTGTTTGGTGGAAAAAACATAAATATTTGTTTTATTTTCAGAATTTTAAATGAAGAAAAAATAAACCCTAAATTGGAAATAGTGAATCCAACATAATATTAAATTTTATTTATATTGATTTAATAAATATATATTTACATAATTATTTGTTTTATTTTCAGAATTTTTAAACCTTAATCCCTAAATTATAATCTTTAAATCCTAAATTCTAATCTTAATATTTTAAATCTTAATCTATAAACCTTCAAAAAATTTAAAATTAAAATTAAACCGTAAATTCTAATTTTTATATATATTATTTATTTATTTATTTATAAAATATTTGATTGAGTATTTAATTTTGTATTTTTAGTTCAAAATAATATTACAAGGTAGATTCTCATTGGCTAAAATAAGAGGAGTGAATGAATGAATTCACCTCTAGGGGTGAACCCAAAAAATTTCCATTATTTGGGATTAGTGTTTTGCAGCATACTAAGGAAGTCTTCAAATTCAAGAAAGGCGTTTAAGGAAATATCTTTGTTCAAAGAAGATTTTTTCATTCGTTTTCCCACATTGGAAGATTTTTTAGTCTATAAATGGAAGATGATTTTGTGGTCTAAGGAGTAAGGATAGATCCAAGAGCTTTCGGCACACAAAAACACAAAAAGTAGACCCATGAGTTGAATTAAAAATATGTTTGCTTGCTATTTTCCCTAATTTCAACGGATTATACCCTCCAATTATAAGATTAGATAATTGAATTGTGTGACTAATAAATGATAATGTTTATGTGTTGATTCTGTGACAAAGTATTCTAAAGTATGGTTTTCTTAATAGGTTCGATAAAAGATTTATTTTATCCAGTAAGTTTGGAAATTAAACTTTTTGAAAGTATAAATACAAGGTTTAAGAATTGTAATTAATCATCTACACAATTAATAAGAAAATCTTAAACAGGTATTTGCTGATTTCTCTCTTTTTAATTATTGTTTTCTTTAGTTTGATTCACAATGTAGCAAACTAGACTCATCCTTCATTCGGCTAAACAAATTGAGCATCCATATGTCGATGATACTTACTACTTAGTCATGTAGTAATATTGTGACGAGTATTATTAACGTGTACGTGATTTATGCATTAAAAGCATGTGAAAAACTGCTTATCACTTTCATCACTTTCACTCTAAATTCTCTTAAATTGCATTTATCATTCTGTCATTAATCCCATTTTGACGTCCTTTACATTTTACTTTTGATGAGATCTTGTTGGTCTGATTGGTCCACGAGCGTGTTCCATGTTCTCCGCATATCGCAACGAGATATTTTGCAAATAAATGCCTTAGATCCAGCACATGTGACTTTATAATTTTCTGTTTTATCTTTCCCTTTTTGCTAACCAATTTGTTGTTTTTTTTTTCTCTGAAGCCGCTCAAAAACATATTCCACTAATGAATTAGATATAAATTAACGTCGTTTGAAATTAAAGAAACTAGTCGAACATGTCAACCAGTGGCTCCACTTCTTTTCAAACATGGTCCTTGTTCTTCCACATCCTAATGAGTAATCTAATATATAAAAGAGGTTGAATTCTCTCCAGCTGCGTGACATATCAGTATTGGAGAGAGTAACACATGTCTTTTCTAAACTTAATTAATTAAAAAAAAAACTGATATTCTACTCGTCTTTCTCCCGAGGCTCCCCGATAATATTTATATTAGCGGCCATGAACTTATCCTCACCAGTTGTTTCAATGATTTCGACGACAATTTTCAGAAGAGACTTCCACCTCCCTATGAAACTTTCTCTGCACCAACCGAAGATCCTCGCGCTCTACAACCAAACGTTCCCATTTACGTAGGTGATTTTAATTTCCTCTTCCTTCTGATTGACCATCTTAATTAGTGTTTTCATTCTGTTCCCGATCTGTTCCAATAGATTTAGATCTATGTGTCATTTTGTTTTTTAATAATGGTTTCTCATCTCCAATATTTTAAAAAAGGTTTATCATCTTCAATTGATGCGACTCCGTGGGATAGTCGGAGGATTTGTTTTCGAGATGAGAGTCGCCGGAACCGTTGATGTTGATGGCCACTGAGAAGGCATTTGCTATTTTCGCTTTCATGTTAAGATTTTTGATATTTCTCTTGCCCTTGCAGATTTCTACGCAAGAGGAAGAAATTCTGGTGGACACGATTGCATTACATGATGAAATGAGTATTCTTCGTCCTGTTTTCTCCAATCCTGATAATTGCAAGGTACATTTTTTCCCCCAATAAAGATGTTCATTTATATAGAATCTACCGCATTCGATTGTTTCAGGTTTTTTCATATTTTGAGATACTTCTTATGGAACACTTGTACGTATTGCTTCTAGGTGTTTCACCGAGCCGACAATGATGTAATTTGGCTTCAAAGAGACTTTCACATATATGTTGTTAATATGTTCGATACTGCCAAGGTACACCTTTTCTAAATCCGGCACTAATTCTTAAACTTTGGCATGAGTGAAAGCTGTTTGGAGTGAATGATCACAGAAAATTGGGTCTTTTGTTAGCTC